CCACTGCCCTGGCCGCGCCGAGCTGGCCCCCCCTTTCCCCCTAGAATCCTAGCGGACTGAGTCAAGAGCGGTCGGATCAAAGATCCGGGATTTCTAAAAGTGGGATTTCATCCCTTACTATAATAGTATAGATTTAAAACGGGACATTTTGAGATCCCGACGTAAATTCACACGGCTCTAGAAATCCCACCGGGGCGGGACTTGTCTTTGCTTATGCAAGATGATCGACTTTTATTTTATGACGAAACTTTTGTAACGCCGATGAGGGATCCACGATGGCGACGCATCATCATTCACCCCATCGATTTCATCACACATCCCTCCCGTCCAACCCCCTGGCATCATCCGCCATGATTCGCCATTGCGTAGAACACGGTCCTGCTCGCCTACGGTGAGGCTTCGCCCTGGCACGCCGGACAAACAAAGGCTTCGCCTGCCGCGCCGGATAAGGAAGGCTACGCCTGCCACGCCAGATTTCCCGGGGATCGACGCTCGCCGCGCGGTGTCTGAAATACAGGGATCCACGATGGCGACGCATCATCATTCACCCCATCGATTTCATCGCGCGCAACCCTGCGCATCATCCGCCATGATCGCCATTGCGTTAGACCAGTCTGCTGGCCTACGATGAGGCTTCGCCGTGCACGCCGGACAAACAAAGGCTTCGCCTGCCGCGCCGGATAAGGAAGGTCGCCCTGCCACGCCAGATTCCAGGGGGATCGACGCTCGCCGCGCGGTGTCTGAATTTCCGGATCCACTTATGGCGAGGCATCATAATTCACCCCATCGATTTCATCGCGGCGCAACCCGCGCATCATCCGCATGATCGCCATTGCGTTAGGGACCGGTCTTGCTCGCCTACGCCGAAGGGCTTCGCCGTGCACGTATGCACGCCTGGACAAACAAAGGCTTCGCCTGCCGCGCCGGATAAGGAAGGCCACGCCTGCCACGCCAGATTTCCAGGGGATCGACGCTCGCTGCGCGGTGTCTGAAATACCGCTAGGGATCCACGATGGCGACGCATCATCATTCACCCCATCGATTTCATCGCGCGCAACCCTGCGCAACATCCGCCATGATCGCCACTGCGTTAGACCAGTCTGCTTGCCTACGATGAGGCTTCGCCGTGCACGCCGGACAAACAAAAGCTCCGCCTGCCGCGCCGGATAAGGAAGGCTACGCCTGCCACGCCAGATTTCCAGGGGATCGCCGCTCGCCGCGCGGTGTCTGAAATACCGCTGAGGGATCCACGATGGCGACGCATCATCATTCACCCCATCGATTTCATCGCACGCAACCCTGCCATCATCCGCCATGATCGCCATTGCGTTCTAGACCGGTCTGCCTCCGCCTCCGGTGAGGGGGGGGTGTGGACATCGCCGTGCACGCCCGGACAAACAAGGCTTCGCCTGCCGCGCCGGAATAAGGAAGGCCACGCCTGCCACGCCAGATTTCCAGGGGATCGACGCTCGCCGCGCGGTGTCTGAAATACAGGGATCCACGATGGCGACGCAACATCACTCACCCCATCGATTTCATCGCGCGCAACCCTGCGCATCATCCGCCATGATCGCCATTGCGTTAGACCAGTCTGCTTGCCTACGATGAGGCTTCGCCGTGCACGCCGGACAAACAAGAGCTCCGCCTGCCGCGCCGGATAAGGAAGGCTACGCCTGCCACGCCAGATTTCCAGGGGATCGACGCTCGCCGCGCGGTGTCTGAAATACCGGATCCACGATGGCGACGCATCATCATTCACCCCAACGATTTCATCGCGCGCAACCCTGCGCATCATCCGCCATGATCGCCATTGCGTTAGACCGGTCTGCTCGCCTACGGTGAGGCTTCGCCGTGCACGCCGGACAAACAAAGGCTTCGCCTGCCGCGCCGGATAAGGAAGGCCACGCCTGCCACGCCAGATTTTCAGGGGATCGACGCTCGCCGCGCGGTGTCTGAAATACAGGGATCCACGATGGCGACGCATCATCATTCACCCCATCGATTTCATCGCGCGCAACCCTGCGCATCATCCGCCATGATCGCCATTGCGTTAGACCAGTCTGCTTGCCTACGATGAGGCTTCGCCGTGCACGCCGGACAAACAAAAGCTCCGCCTGCCGCGCCGGATAAGGAAGGCTACGCCTGCCACGCCAGATTTCCAGGGGATCGACGCTCGCCGCGCGGTGTCTGAAATACCGTGAGGGATCCACGATGGCGACGCATCATCATTCACCCCATCGATTTCATCGCGCGCAACCCTGCGCATCATCCGCCATGATCGCCATTGCGTTAGACCGGTCTGCTCGCCTACGATGAGGCTTCGCCGTGCACGCCGGACAAACAAGGGCTTCGCCTGCCGCGCCGGATAAGGAAGGCTACGCCTGCCACGCCAGATTTCCAGGGGATCGACGCTCGCCGCGCGGTGTCTGAAATACAGGGATCCACGATGGCGACGCATCATCATTCACCCCCTCGATTTCATCGCGCGCGACCCTGCGCATCATCCGCCATGATCGCCATTGCGTTAGGACCCGTCTGCTTGCATACGCTGAGCGCTTTTCGCCGTGCACGCCGGACAAACCAAAGCTCCGTGCCGCGCCCGGATAAGGAAGGCTACGCCCTGCCAAGCCAGAAATTCCAGGGGATGCGAGCTCGCCGGCGCGGTGTCTGAAATACGGATCCACGATGCGGACGCATCATCATTTCACCCCATCGATTTCATGCGCTCGCAACCCTGCGCAAACAATCCGCCATGATCGCATAGCATTTAGAGGTCTTGCTCGCCTACGGTGAGGCTTCGCCGTGCACGCCGGACAAACAAAGGCTTCGCCTGCCGCGCCGGATAAGGAAGGCCCCGCCTGCCACGCCAGATTTCCAGGGGATCGACGCTCGCCGCGCGGTGTCTGAAATACAGGGATCCACGATGGCGACGCATCATCATTCACCCCATCGATTTCATCGCGCGCAACCCTGCGCATCATCCGCCATGATCGCCATTGCGTTAGACCAGTCTGCTTGCCTACGATGAGGCTTCGCCGTGCACGCCGGACAAACAAAAGCTCCGCCTGCCGCGCCGGATAAGGAAGGCTACGCCTGCCACGCCAGATTTCCAGGGGATCGACGCTCGCCGCGCGGTGTCTGAAATACCGCTACGCCGTTACAAAAGTTCGTCACGTTTCATGAGAGCTTGAAAGTGGCATGGGTTTCGTGTCTTCCTTCCGCGTGAGCAAGCGGGCAGAGGCTGACCACTGCCCTGGCCGCGCCGAGCTGGCCCCCCCTTCCCCCCTAGAATCCTAGCGGACTGAGTCAAGAGCGGTCGGATCAAAGATCCGGGATTTCTAAAAGTGGGATTTCATCCCTTACTATAATAGTATAGATTTAAAACGGGACATTTTGAGATCCCGACGTAAATTCACACGGTTCTAGAAATCCCACCGGGGCGGGATTTGTCTTTGTTTATGCAAGATGATCGACTTTTATTTTACGAAACTTTTGTAACGCCGATGAGGGATCCACGATGGGACGATCATTCATTACCCCATCGATTTTTGCATCGACGCGCAACCCTGCGGCTCGAGTACCGCCATGATCGCCATTGCGTTAGTGACCTCTGCTCGCCTATGGTGAGGCTTCGCCGTGGCACGCCGGACAAACAAAGGCTTCGCCTGCCCGCGCGAGATAAAGGGAAGGCCAAGCCTGCCACGCCAGATTTCCAGGGGATCGACGCTCGCCGCGCGGTGTCTGAAATACAGGGATCCACGATGGCGACGCATCATCATTCACCCCATCGATTTCATCGCGCGCAACCCTGCGCATCATCCGCCATGATCGCCACTGCGTTAGACCAGTCTGCTTGCCTACGATGAGGCTTCGCCGTGCACGCCGGACAAACAACAGCTCCGCCTGCCGCGCCGGATAAGGAAGGCTACGCCTGCCACGCCAGATTTCCAGGGGATCGACGCTCGCCGCGCGGTGTCTGAAATACCGGATCCACGATGGCGACGCATCATCATTCACCCCATATCGGAAGAAATTCGCGCGCAAACCTGCGCATCATCCGCCATGATCGCCATTGCGTTAGACCGGTTGCTTCGCCTACGGTGAGGCTTCGCCGTGCACGCCGGACAAACAAAGGCTTCGCCTGCCGCGCCGGATAAGGAAGGCCACTCCTGCCACGCCAGATTTCCAGGGGATCGACGCTCGCCGCGCGGTGTCTGAAATACAGGGATCCACGATGGCGACGCATCATCATTCACCCCATCGATTTCATCGCGCGCAACCCTGCGCATCATCCGCCATGATCGCCATTGCGTTAGACCAGTCTGCTAGCCTACGATGAGGCTTCGCCGTGTACGCCGGACAAACAAAAGCTCCGCCTGCCGCGCCGGATAAGGAAGGCTACGCCTGCCACGCCAGATTTCCAGGGGATCGCCGCTCGCCGCGCGGTGTCTGAAATACCGCTGAGGGATCCACGATGGCGACGCATCATCATTCACCCCATCGATTTCATGAGAGCTTGAAAGTGGCATGGGTTTCGTGTCTTCCTTCCGCGTGAGCAAGCGGGCAGAGGCTGACCACTGCCCTGGCCGCGCCGAGCTGGCCCCCCCTTCCCCCCTAGAATCCTAGCGGACTGAGTCAAGAGCGGTCGGATCAAAGATCCGGGATTTCTAAAAGTGGGATTTCATCCCTTACTATAATAGTATAGATTTAAAACGGGACATTTTGAGATCCCGACGTAAATTCACACGGTTCTAGAAATCCCACCGGGGCGGGATTTGTCTTTGTTTATGCAAGATAATCGACTTTTATTTTATGACGAAACTTTTGTAACGCCGATGTAGTCGAAGGACTGCAGCATTCCCGTCAGAGCGACGTGGCAGGCCTCGTAGTCGTCCCGACGCATGAAGCTGCAGCGCGCCAGATCGCAACCGTCGGAGTCCTCAGCGACGAAGTGCGACTGTGCCCTCCTCGACCGGTCAAGCGAAGCCCCGATTAGCAGCGATCTTCATCGCGGTGCGCTTGTCGTAGCTGTTGGCTGCCTTGAGCTTCTTCGCCACCGTGTCTCCGTCGACGGCATCCAGGCTCAACCCGACCAGGTGCATGGCTCCAGAGACACAGCAAATCACCTCTGGGAGACAGAACGCCGTCGCATTCACTGCACTGTAGCCCCCGTCGTAGACACATATTTGATAATCAACGATCGCCTTCTTCAGCTCCGCATGCTCTGGGGGGAACGCGATGAAGAAGTTCGATGCAGGCTTGATGCGCGAGCCCATGCCTGCGAACATCTGATTCACGACGTCGTTGAGCTTCTTGTCGGAGATCTCGGTGACCATCGAATCGAGGCCATCCTTGCTCATGGTAGCCTTGGCCCACTTGACCTGCGTCTGGTAATTGCCAGCGTTTGCTATCACGCCCAGGTCATCGACCTTGAACTTCACCGCCTCGGTCTGGTTGAAGTCGGCCACCTTGTCGCTGACGTCCAGTCCGTCAAGTGAGTGGCCGTCGGGCACGAGGGGCTCGATCACTGGCACGTAGCTCTCGTCGCCCCCCTGCTGCGCCCCAGCGTTGCGCCTGCTGCGGGCCGCGCTCGACTTTGCTTGGGCCTTCTCCAACGCCTTGTTCTTCTTTTCAACCCCTTTTGCGAAGGCCCTCCGCTCAGCCATCCTGAGACGGAACGGCTTCGCGTGACCCTCCTCCGAGAAAAACCGTTTGAAGTCACCCAGGGCGGGCTGCAAGAGGTTTGCCGAGTCACCAGCGACGGAACCATTGGGGGCAAGCGTCTCGAGTTGATAAGTCTCTTTCCACACTCTCACATTCTCAGTGTAGGTGTTGAAGGCATCCTCGGCATTCGCCTCGAACTTGGCGTTATCCTTGCAGGGGCCATCGTGGTTCCATCGGGGCCGCATCGTGTCTCTTCCTTGTCGGGCTAGGTCGCCCGCCCCCGCCCCGCGTCGCCCCCCCATGCCTCTCCCCACCGCCGCCCGCCGCCACGCCCCATCTCTCGCCCCCCTGCCCCGTGCCGGAGCAAGGTCGGGGAGGGAGTGAGAGATGAAGCGTGGCTCGGTAGAGCTTCAGACAGGGCGGGGGAGGGAGGGGGGAGGGGGAGGGCGGGAGACCTACCTGGCTCGGTAGAAACACGAGTTGGCCCCAAGGAAACTTGATGGACCCCGCGGCCTCTTTGGTCGTCGTCGCGTCTTCTCCCTCCATGGCGGACAAGTCCATCTCGGGCTGCGCGAGGTCGTTCCGCAACCTCGCGATGCTGGAGTTCAACTTCGCCGGCTTCTCGATCAGGCGCGTCTTGAGGGTCGAGTAAGCAGTCCTCTGGGCACTGGGTGATTGCCTGGCCTGCTCGCTCTGCTCCTGCTGCGCCTGGGCAATCTTCTGCATGTCATCGGCCACCTCCTCCATCATGTCGGCCTCCTCCTGAGCTTGCCGTATCTGTTGCTGCATCATGTCTTGTTGAACGGTTTGCTGCATGACCGTTTTGCTGAAGGCGTTCGTGATGGACTCGGAGGTGTTAGAGCCGATGGTGTCCACCTGCTTCGCTTCAAACGGAATGGCCGTCATCGAGATGGGGCGCGAAAGCTTCAAAGCACGCCAGAATTGATCCATGGACTTCAGGTTATCCCCCACCGCAGCGTTCAAGTCGTCGGCGTTGTTGCAGATCTTCTGACGCTTGACGCGGGAGGTGGCCATGTTGTTCTTCACGTGGTCGACAATGATCACCCGAACTTTTGCAATGAAAACTTCACCGCTCTCGTCCGTGATCTTGTCCTTCGGCTTCGCCACGATATTCTTCCAGTGCTCGATGAGCTGCTCTTCTGTCCAGTCGGGGTGCTTTTCCACAACCGTGTCGTAGCCAAAGTATTCAGTGCGATCTCTTTGCTCAATGCCCCCTACTCTGGGACTCCTCTTCCTCTGCCATGATATGATCCTCCGACATCTGGCTGTGCTTATCCTTGGCCTTCATCTTCTTGTACCACGCCTGCTCTCTCTTGGGATATTTTTGGAGCTCCTTCCACCACTTGCAGAGCTTGTCGTTCGGGTCCTTCTTCTTGACCTTGCGCTCCATATTCCGCTTATTGGACGCGCATGTGGGATCAATTCGAACGTTCTGATTTCTTCCTGTCGCAGAGCTGGCTGCTCACCGCACTTCACGCACGTGTAGTTACTGAGCGCCATGGACGGCGAATGGGCGAATGGGCCCTCGTCGCGCGATGTGTGCCCGAGCACGGCGCACGCTCCCGAGCCAAATAGCTTGTTACGAAGACCCCAAACACGCCCGAGAGGCGACCAAGCGGGCCCCTCGCGGGCCACTGCACGGCAATGCAAACCAACGCCACGGCAATGCATGAGTTGGCTACTGATTATTCCCTGGCCTCCATGGCCCATGACGGCCCTCGCGGGGGTCTCGCGTCCACTCTGGTCCCTCGCGGAGGGCTTTCTGAAGAAGAGCTTCTGGGGCCTCTGCTCCCCCTGGGGCCTTCCTGGAGAAAGCCTTCCGGGGCCTTCCTTAAGTTCTCGCTGGGCCCTCGTGGAGCCCCCCTGAAGTTCTCTCAGAACCCCGCCTAGAAGCTAGTCGCCCCGAAGCCTCTGGAGGACGCACTTCAGGGCCCCCCGCCAAGAGATTGGAAGAGGAGGGGAGGAGAAGAATGAGGAGTGGAGGGAGGGGGGGGAAGGGGGGGGGGGGAGGAGAGGAGGGGCTGGGAAGAGTTGGAAGAGGAGGAGAGGAACAGTCCTGCGCTTGGGGCTTGGAAAAGGGCGTGGAGGAGGGGAACCGTCCTGCGTCTGGGGCTTGGGAAGAGATTGGAAGAGGAGGGGGGGAGAAGGAGTAACGATGCGGCTGTGGCCCCTGCTGGGATGACGCGCTGCAAGGCGCACTATCTGGAACACAAATTGCGCGCGCAGTCGCGCAGAGACGCTGCCAGCTCTTGCCGCGCTCGTTGGCAGGCTGGAGGCGCTGGGCGGTGCCTCCACTCACGGCTAGATGCTGGCCGTCTAACCCTTCTTGACCGACAGAGCCCCTTGCTTCCACCTCTGGCGCTTGTTCTCGGGATCGTCGCTCTTGTCGATGATGCGCTTGAGCCCCGTGGAAACCCCGATGTGCTCGAAGATGGCCCACTTCCCCATGATCAGCTGCGCGAGGACCACTCCAGCCATGTCAACGGGCACCATGTTGCCAAAGTGGATGGTGCGCTGGTGCATGCTGCAGACCTCGTCCACGCTGCACCACTTCACGCCGCGCACTGCTGCCCGCTCCTCGATGTCCAGGAAGCGGCCGCCCTCTGGCACCTTAGACGCGCCGGGGCCCCCACGCATGATGTAGAGGTAGCGATACACTGTCGTCAACGCGGGCACTCTGTTTACGTGGATGCTGCGTCCGCGCCCGTGCCCTGGACCCTTGCGGGAAGCATCGATGACGAAGTGCATCGTGGCATTCGCGGGTACGACGATCTTGCCGCCCGAAATCTTCTTGTCGAGCTCGGTGTTAAACTTCTCGATGTTGCTCTTCTGCGTCTCCGTGGGGTCCCTGGTGGCATGCTCCTCCACGTCGTCGGTGGTGTAGAACATCTCTCCGAGCATCACCGCGTCGTTCCCGAAGGTCCTCAACTCCTGGGGCATGCCGCCAACGACGTCGGCGTAGTCGAGCTTGCAGGCCACTGCGAAGCAGCGCCCCCTGTGATGAGGTAGAAAGCACCCCTCAGCATTTACCCTCCATGGGGGAAGCATCGTCCAGCCAAGCATGTTGTTCTGCCACCACTCCTGCGCGAAGTCCATTGGGCGCTTCTGAGTCTTGCCGTTCAGACTCATGATGTGCCACGCGTTCTCCGAGTACCCACTTCAGCGGCCGATCCTTCCGCTGCGCCAACTCTTTGATCGCCTCGAGCTGCCTGATGAAGAGCCCCCCCCGGTAGGCAAAGAAGTTCTCACCGTTGCCAGCCTTGGAGAAGGTGATGCATGGAGCTGCCCCAATGCAGCCATCGCTGGAGTCGAGCGTCTGCGGGGGGTACGACTCGATGGTGTTGGGCCGCGCGATGTGACCTGGAAGGCGCCTGAGCGCCGCGCAGGCGTCCGGCCGCTTCTCCGCGATGTTGACGGCCAGCACTGGCCCATCACCTTCCAGGATCGCTCGGTCTGGTCCTCCGATCCCTGCGAACAAGAACGACACCTTCTGGGCATTCGAGTAATTGGGGAACTCGATGCCGAGCTTGGCGCAACGCGACTTCCACTTCGCATTGCGGCGCACGGGGCTGTCCTAGGAACACCACCATCGCAATAGCCTGCGCGCCAAAATCGCACAAGGGCAGGCGGTGAACGAACGCACATATATACTTGAGCCACTAAGGCTGAAACGACGGTGGTTGGGGCCCCTGTGGCCCCATTCATTGAAACTTCTGATTTCTCTGCGGGAAAGCTCTTTGGAGACGCGACGCTCACGATTTACTCTGTGTCCACATGGGCAGACGGTCTCTTTGACACACCTGGGGGTCACGGGGCGCGGCGTTCGGGGTGCCATGGGGAGCCCCCAGAAAGCTCCAAGCTGAGTCTCATGAGGGCTCCACGTTGACCCCAGGGAGTCTATGGTACACCTGAAACGGCCCAGCAGCCTCCGAGTGGTCGCTGATGATGGAGACGATGGTGATGATGATGATGGTGATGATGATGATTGAGATGGCAATGCTGCTGCTGATGATGATGATGATGATGATGATGATGATGACGATGAGAAGGGATATGCGCCCTAGAACGGTGATTCTGGCGAATTGTTCGGCAGGCGCAACCCACCGAAAATCACCAAACTAGGGCGGCTGCGTGCTTGCCTCCGCGGCCATGTTCAGATCAACGGCCTTCCAGAACGAGGTCCGCTCAAAGCTAGAACGATTCCAAGGTCATCTACCATGACCGTAACACAACGCCTCAACCCGAACAATAACCCAAGATGGCCCATGGTGGCCTAGTTCGCCCAAGATGGTTCAGGATGGCCTCCAAGACGCCCCAGGGGGGGCCCAAGATGCCTCTGGGGGCCCCCCTGGAGTCCTAACCCTCCTTTTCGCGTTTCGGGGTCCTCATTTCTTCATTCACCCCCTTGGCGTCATCATCCATCCGTCATCGATGTCCCTCCAAGCCTCCAGGGGCCCCAATGCCGCTCCGTGTCGCTCCAGTGTCGTCCCAGTGTCGCTCCAGCGTCGCTCCAGTGTCGTTGGGCCCCCCTCCGCGCCGAAACTGCAAGAATGATGCGAATGTGCGCCCTCGCCCCCCACGCGATGGCTTCAAGACGGCCAAATGGCTTCAAGGTGGCTCAGGATGGCTTCACGATGGCTTCAAGACGACCAAAAGGCTTCAAGATGGCAGGGTGGCTTCGCGATGGCCCAGGATGGCTTCAAGACGGCCTATAGGAGGATCAAGGGGCTGAAGAGGATATGTGGTGAAGGGAGCGGGGGAGGAGGATGTCGGGCGGGCCGTCGCTGCATGTTATCGCCACTTCTGCTTTGAAGAGCGTGCGAATAGGAGGAAGAGGATCGTTGGTGCATTTTTTTCTCCAATGCGTTCCTACTGCTCAGGTGATTCACCCGAGGATCGGCAAGACGGGGCCGTAATCGCGCGGGGGCGATGGCTCGCTGTGTCCTTGGACGTGCCAAGCGGTTGCCAGATGAGCTGGCACTTCAAAGAAATTGCTTTCTGGCTCTTCGGGGAAGCCGTCCTCTACAAAAGAAGTGTTGCGCAGCAGCATACTCTAGAAAGGGCGACTGCGCAAGGGCATGCTCTGGGCCCTCTGGGCTCGAGTCGATGATCTGCGGCGGGCTCTGCATGTCCTCTGGCCTAGCCCTCGGCTCCAACGGTTGCTGGCTCTGCATATCCTCGGGGTCACTCCTCGAATCGATCGGAATCGGCTGGCTATTCGCATCCTCCAGCCCACTCCTCGGCTCGACCAGCGGCTGGCCTGGCACGTCCTCGGGGCCACTCGTGCACGGGAACAACGGCGGGCTGAACATGTCATCGGGGCATCTCCCATCGATCGGCGGCTGGCTCTGCATGCCCTGGAAGGCCATCATCGATTCGAGCTGCGGCTGGTTGACTATGTCATCGGGGCACATTTGTTCGCTTTGATTATCACCCTGCCCAGTATGAGCTATGTCAAGGGTCTGAACGTGAACTTGACCAGCCTCAGTCTTTTCGACGACGGGATCAGGTTGGCCAGCTCCTGTCGCATCGCGGGGGGGTGGGGATGGCCTTGACTCGACGAGCGTATCGCCCTGGCGCCAGCTTGACTCGACCAGCGTATCGCCAGCGCACAGCCTCCTCAGCTTCTCTGGCCTCTGCTGAGGCCCTGTCCCTGACATGCCCCCTGGGGTCCGTGGGCAGCCGAACGATCATGGCCTGAGTCTCGAACCCACCTAGCTACTGAAGGCATGTGATGATGATGATGTAGGGTGGCGAGTGTTTTGTCCTGCATTAGTTTGCCTTAACTTACCTTGATCTTGCCTTGAGATTACCTGATATCGTTCGCATTTGACTTGCCTTCAGCCTTCCAGGGGGGCGTGTAATGCAGGCCCCATTTTGCGTGTGTGGTCGCGTGTGTTCACGTTGTGTTCGTTACTTTGTCTTCTGGCTTTGCTTGTGGCTGTGCTTGCAATGGCTAGAACTTAAAAGCGCTTCTGGCTACGATTTCAATCGGATTCTGGTTCGGGGTGTCTCGTTTATGTCAGAAGGACGCGGGTCGCAGGCGGGCCACGGCGGGGATTTGTTTGTGCCGGGTGGGACTCGGATGGGAGACGGGCAACGACGATGATGATGAGTATAATGATGATGGTGCTCGTAAGGAGAAATGGGAAAGGATGGAACGATCATGAACTTATTTGCTTTGATTGCCCCTGCTATCAATCCGCTGGCAAGGCCACCACGAAGTCTGGCTCCAACAAATTCGGAGGCATCTCATCTCTGATGGCATTCAATTTAACATACGTTGCTGCAGGTAGCCTCTGATGGTCCCTTTTCGTAGCTAACGCCGTGCCTGCTCACATGTACAACACGATTGATGCTACGGCCTTCCATGGTTCATCGAACGTCAACAAGTAATGATACTTATAGCAGTCAGCGTGTGTGGGGCAAATGCAGCACGCACGACGCCGACGACTGACGTGTGAGAAGTAATCGAGCCTGACAGTGATCTCCTGACCGAC